TCTTCCATCAACTGATGTTTCTTTAGATGAACACAAGCTTTTTAGTTTTATGAAGCCCCGTTTGTAATAGTTGGCCTTAGTTCCTGGGGAAAAGGAGAGAGTCCTTTCCTACATCTCTATCATGTAGGGCACTGCCCATGTTTTCTTCTGGAAATTCGAGTATTTCATACTGAGATCATTGGTCAATTTATTTTCTTGTGCAAGGTGATAGAGTCAGGTCAAAGGCTTTTCTGCATCTATTGGAATTATCATGTGACTTTTGTCTTTAAGTCCATTTATATAATTTATTAACTTACTTATGTTGAACCAACCCTACATTTTCAGCATAAAACCTACCAAAATGTTGTGGATATATGCCTATATTCAGCTTGCAAATATTTTATTGAATATTTTTACATGTATGTTTAACAGAAGTATTGGCCTGTAAGTTTTCTTTCTTTGTCATGTCTTTATCCAGTTTTGATAATCGAGTAATACTGACTTTATAGAAGGAATTTGGAAGTGTGTCTTCTGTTTTTATTCTTATTTTTTCGAATAATTTAAGAAGTATAGGTTGTAGATCTTCTCCAATGGTCTGGTAGAATTCTAATGTGACTCTGTCCGGACCTGGATATTTTCCTTCAGACAGGTTTTTATTACTGTTTTTGTCTTGCTATTTGCCATTGTTTGGTCTGTTATGGGTTCTCTTGGCTTTACTTGGTGATTTGGGTGAGTTTAGGAATCCGTTCACTTCTTTTAGATTTTCTAAGTTGGGGGAATATAAGTTTTAAAAGTATTCCCTTTCTTTGGCTTCTGCTATAAACCTTTCTTTGGTTCCCTTGTTCATTTCTGATTCTGTGATTTGTATTTGATCATTTCTTTCTTTCTTTCGGTTAATTGGGCCATGTGCCTGTCAATCATTTTTTATATTTTAAAAAAGATTTATATATTTTATGTTTATGAGTGTTTTGTTCACATGTCTGTCTGTGTACCATGCATGTGCTGTTTCTGATATTTAAATATAGGCTCTTGGAGTCATAAATGCTTGGTGTAGGACTTATTTTAATGTGTCCTAGATGTTTTAGTCATTTTCATTCAATTCCAAGAAATTTGAAGTTCCTTTGTTGATTTGATCTAGTCATCATTCAGAAATGTATCATTAAGCTCCTCAAGTTTGTGTAGCTTCTAGAGTTTCATCTGTTGTTGAGTTTAAGCTCTGTCACGTCATAGAAAGAAATGATACATAGAATTATTTTGATTTTTCTGAATTTGTTAAGTTTTGTTGCTTTCTGGGATATGATCTGTTTTAGAGATTCTTCCCTGGGTAGAGTAGAATATACTTTTTTTGGTTTTTGAATGTCATATTCTGTAGTTCTATTTGATGCATGATGTCATTTATTTCTGATGTTATTTTTTATCAGATAACTTATCTAGTAGAGAAAATGGGGGTATTGAAATCACCTAGTGTGGTAGTTTGAATGTAAGTAATGGCCCCTATAATCTCATAGGGAGTGGTACTATTAGGAGACATGGCCTTGTTGGAGGGGATACAGCCTTGATGGAGGAAGTGTGTCACTGTGGGGATGGGCTTTGGGGTTTTCTATGCTCAAAATGCCACCCAGTGAGTCAGTCAACTTCCTGCTGCCTACTGGCCAAGATGTAGCTATCACCATGTTTGTCGGCCTGCCGCCATGCTCCCAGTCATGATGATAATGGACTGAACCTCTGAAACTGTAAGCTTCCACCTCAATTAAATATTTTCTTTATAAGAGTGCCGTGGTGTCTTTTCACAGCAATAAAATCCAAACTAAGACACCTACTGTAACTGAGCTGGATTTGATCTGTATCTTTAAGTCTCATAATATGCTTTTTATGACATTGAGCTTACCAGAGTTTGGTGCACATATGTTTAGGATTGCAATGTCCTCTTGGCTAATTGTTCCTTGATTAGAATAAAATGCCCTTTATTTCTTCTGATTACTTTTAGTTTGAAGTCTATTTTATCAGATGCTAGGATATCTACAAATACTTGCTTCCAGAACCCATTTTTTTGCTATCAATTTAAAGTGGATCCCATCATCAATCCCATTTTCTTGTTATCAATTTAAAGTAGAACCAATCATTAAAAAAAGAGGAGTTTTTGGTAGGCAAACAGAAAGAAGATTTTTTTCTTTTCTTGAGCTAATGTGTGTCTTTTGATAGGAGAGCTAAGTTTATTAACATTTAAAGTTATTGAAGGGTATGTGATGATTGCATTATTGTTTGGTTTCCCTTCATGTTTATAGGAATGCAGCTTCCTTTCTTTGCTCTGTGTAGTGTCTTGGCTATGTTTATCCCTCTCTTTAGTTTGAAGTGTTGCTTCTAATATTCTCTGTAGGGCTGGTTTGATGGACAGGCATCCTTTTTGGCCTGTTTGTATCATGGAAATGTTTTCTTTCTTCTTAAACTATGGTAGATAGTTTTGCTGGATACAATAGTCTGGGTTGGCATGTATGAATTTTTAGAACTTAGAGTACATTCAAGGTTCTTCTGGATTTTAAATTTTCCATAGAGAAATCAATTGTTATTCTGGTGGGCTTCATTTTTATGTGGGTTGGGGTTTTTCTCTAGCATCTTTCATTAGCCTCTCTTGGTTTTGTATCTTTAATGTTTCAAATATAATATGCAATAAGGAGTTTCTTTGCAGTTGGGTCTATTTGATGTTCCGTGCGCTTCTTTTATTTTATGGGTGTGTTTTTTCTTTATTTGGGGGAAGTTTTTCTTCTATGAAATGTTGACAATCTGGTCTGTGATTTGGCCCAGGATTCTTTTCCTTTATTCATGCCTATAATTCAAAGACTTGGTCTTTTCATGATGTCACATAGGTTTTGTGTATTCCTGCCATATTTTTATTGTAATATTCTTTGCTTGAGTTGTCCAGTTCCTCTGCTTTGCTTTTGAGCCATGATATTTTATCACCCATTTATCCAACCCATCTCTAGGGCTTTCCCCCAAGAGTTTTAAATTGGATTGTTAAGTTTTCAAATTCCATTTTAATGTCAGCTTGAATCCCCTTTAATATTTCTATCTCTTTACTGAGTTCAACTTCCAAATCCTGTATTGTCTTCATCATCTCATCCAGCAATGTGTTTATGATTCCTTGAGAATTACTTAGGCATTTATTGTTTATTCTCTTTAATGTGATTGCGCTGGTTTTTGTGTGTCTTAGTTAAAGTCCTTGAATTCTTTTATGGGTTTAGAATTATTCTTTTAAGCTCTGTTCTGGGGTTCATCTAGTCATTCTCATTGGAGAACATTCTTATAGAGCTGGTGGGTTTGAGGTGCGACACACTGTCTTATCCTGTCATGTTTTTGTGATGTGAGCTGGGCATGTGAACTTATTTCATTGGACATGTGTCAGAGGTAAGGATCTAGACTACCTCAGGTTGCACAGGAGCCACATGAAACTAGATGTAGGCCATGTACAACTCTTGTAGGAGCTGCTAGATTGGGTCTTGGCTTCTGTTGTGGATATGGAACATGCACAGTCTGTGGTCAAGGGAGGTTACCTGACAGAGCTGGTGTGTGAGCTGAATTTCGAGAGCTGAGCCTGGAGATGGTAGGGGCAGGCTTGGTTCTCAGGGGACCCACCGGGTAAAGCAGTACAGGGTTTTTTGTGTGTTCAGAGATAGGTCTGGAAGCATAAACATGGTGTGGGCAGGCTTAATTTTGAGGGGACCCACAAGGCAAAGCTAGTGCAGCAACTGTGCAACCGGAGTTTATAAGTTTGGGCTTTGACTGTGAGTTTGGGTGAAATATGAACTTTGAATTATGATTTTCAAGGCTAACCATGAACCCAAAGTAATTTCATAAAATTTAATTTGTGATTGTGTAATCATTTAGTTCAGCTAAAAGAAAAGATCTGGGCAAGCTGCTCTATTTCTGCTATCACTGGACTCAGGTGTCTAAAGCAGAAGAATAAGGAGTGAAAGTCCAAGCCTGTCACACAGTGAGAGCTGATTTTAAAACACACGATAATAATTCATAATCTCTTCAGAGGTATATCTTCTGAAGATAAGACAGACTTAGTATGTCCTGAAAACTGGGACTAGTTACATGCAAAGTTAAAAACTGAGCAACAGGCTTTAAAGTAAGTAATCAATTAGAAGGTAACTGTAATTGAGAACACAATTCTACCAGGAAACAAATTTGTTCAAATTATTTTCATTAATAATTCAAAGGAGATAAACAACTACCCTTGAATCTGAAGAAACTTCTATGAATGAATATTAAGTATGACCTCTCTCAGCCAGCTTATGTACATTTTTCTTAGTAACAGTTCAGAATAGAAATCAATCACAAATAAATGAATAAACAAATAAATAAATAGCTGGGTATCATGGGTCAGACTTTTAATCCCAGCACTGAGGAGGCAGTAGCCACGTTGTTATTTCAGAGACACCCAATAGTGTATTTCAGTTTAGCATTGAAGTGAGGAATTCATGTACAGCTGAGCTAAGTTAAAAAAAAGAGACATGGAGACGATGTACACTATGACATATATTTTACAAGGTAAAGTTTTCTGTGACTGTGTTCCCTTCAGTGAGTTATAGAGGGAATATGGGCTAAGCATTGGTGATTTCTACTAATATTTTCAAATAAAAATCACTAATTGTTTTAGTTATTTTACCATATAGTTATTGTTTCTGCTAAAATATACTAACTCATGGAAGACAGCACAATTTAAATGGTATAGTTAATATATTTCAGAAATTTCAAGAACAAAGTTCCTATCACCGGAATGTAAAAGTTCAGCAAATTTTGCAATCAAAGTCTATTGCCAGGCTGGGCAGTGATGGTGTATGCCTTTAATCCCAGCACTCAGGAGTCAGAGACAGGTGCATTTCTGTGAGTTTGAGGCCAACTTGGTCTACAGAGTGAGTTCTAGGACAGCTAGGACTACACAGGGAAATTCTGCCTTGAAAAACAAACAAAAATACATTACCAGAAATATGTGGAATAAAGAGTGGATTGGGCACACACTACATTAAAATGTACCATGAGGTGACAAACACGTGCATTTTATGGAGATATTCACACAGAAGGCATGTGAATTCTGTGATTCTGAAATGATAAGACTTGTTTTTGATGATTTCCACCCCAAGAATACATGGTATTTTTTTATCTTGATTTTTTATTCTGCACACAGTCTCCCTCAGAGCCCGGTGGACCTGCTTGTTTCGCAGAGTGTAGATGGCAGGGTTCAGAAGCAGTGTCACCACTGTGTTCACGAGAGCAGCCTCTCTGTTGGATTCTAGCCTACTTATTTGCTTTGGTTTCACATATATAAACACACAGCTGCTGTATATTAGAGCGAGGACAATGAGGTGGGATGAGCAGGTGGAGAAAGTTTTCTGTCTCTCCTTGGCTTATGGGAGTCATACAATTGTGACTACTATGCTGTATGCAGTGATGGTTATAATGAGGGATGAGATAATGATAAGAAAAGCAAGGCCAAAAGCCAGAGTTTCAGCAGATTTGGTGTCTGAGCAGGAGAGGTGGATCAGAGAGCCAATGTCACAGAAGAAATGTGGGATGACATGGGGGCCACAGAAGGGTAACCGTGATACCTTCCCTACTACCCAAGTGGTAAAGGTGGAGGTCATAGTAAGGCAGGCCATGATTAGAAGGGTGCAGGTCCTCAGGTTCATGGTGGTGGGATAATACAGAGGCTTGCAAATAGCCACACATCTGTCCACTGATATCACAGCTATGAGAAGAAAATCAAACGCCCTAATAAATATAAAGATGAAGGCTTGTATGGAACAGGCAACAAAGGAAATTGTTTGTTTCCCTAAAAGAAAGATAGCCAACAACTTAGGAATAACAGCGCTGGTAAAACAACACTCAAAAAGGAGAAAATACCAAGGAAAAAGTACATGGGGGGTTTTCAGATGAGCACTGGTGCATACAACAAAGACAATGACTACATTTCCTGTGATGGAGGCCAGGTATGCCAGCAGGTGCACTGAGAAGAGAAGCCTTCCCAGGTACTGGACAGTAGGAAATCCCTCCAGGGTAAATTCCTGGACCATCGTCCCATTCTCCATTTCCACTGTCTTAACTTAGGATAAAGAGATCACAGAGATCAGAGATGTTCTCTTGGTGAACACAAACAGATCATTTAGCAGCCTGTTCAAAGTGTGATGGAAGATTAAATATGATGAAAGATGTTATTCTCTTTAATTTTGATATAAACATGTGTGTTCCTAAGTTTAACTGTAATATCATAATTATTGGCATATTATTCTTTGGTTCAGCCATCATTACTGTCATCTTTATAACTGTCACCATCACCACTATACTAGCCACCTGAAGTCAGTATTCCTCTCTGTCCCCACAATATCGTAAATATTAGGCTTTTGTCACCCCTGCTTCACCAGGAAAGATATAAATTTTCAGAGTCTCAGAGAGGTTGGGTCATTTAACAGAGTTTTTAAAGATTGAACTCCTACTTGATTCCAAAATTCCTGCTGTTTCTCAATATTATGACAAGGTATTTTAACGTATTACATTTGTATTTATTTTTAGAATAACTGTACACGTGAGAGCATGTTTGTGGATGTAAGAGGACAATTTGCAGAAGTTAGTTTCTTCTTGCACCTTATGGGTCCTGGAGATCAAATTTGTGTTATTACGCTTGGTGGCAAATACCCAAACTCACAGAGGTCTTTATAAAAGACCTTTATACCTGACCTTTCTCCTTTGTAATCCCACACAACTGAATGAAGAATTGTTTGCGTTCACTTATACAAAGAACAAAAATCTCCAAAAACACAGGTATAAAATATCTTTGATGATTTCCCCATAAAAAATGTCCAACTGACAGTCTCTCAAACATATGTGATAGAAACACTCTATTGACCCCACTTTCTCCTCTGGTAATAGTAATGGCATATGGTGGCCCTAAGGGCAGTATTGTTCTTAGAGTAGATATGTTTCAGCACACACAACCACCTAACAGAAGGACACTGAGATGACCAGGCACTAGAGACCTCACTGTTACAGGATAAATCAAAGACTTAACCTGGCTCTTCTGGCACATTTGAAGATGCTGGTGGATGTCTTCAAAGCATTAACCTTCACTCATAGCAGTGGTCCCCAAATTTGTCATTTTCTCTTCCATCTGATCTGAGTGCCACTTTGCTGGCAGCAGTGTGTAATATGTGTTTGTCCCACACTGCCATGGCCAAGACCTGAGTGTACCTATTACCTCGTTCTCCTTCATGCTTCAGGACCCAAGGAGTAGCCTAAGGAATATTCTGGCACACTGCTCACCTCTTGGGTGTGCAACTGACCTTTCTGCTGCACAGCTTTCTCCTTTGTACAACCCCACTTAACTAATCACAGAATTGTTTGTGTTCAGTTATATCAAGAATGAATGTGATCTTGCAAAACACAGATCTAGTATGTCTTTGATGATTTCCCCATGAAAATTTGGTCACTAGTATGATGTCCCCAACGAAGGAACAGGGTGTTCTTAGAGCTTGTTATGAGTGGAAGGAATAAGAAAGAAATGTTATGTACAGCTGGGATCCCTAGAGATGTCTAATTGTTTACTTTTGAGAACAACAGTTATTGGTGGAACAGTGTTTCCTGTCCGGGTGACAGGTAGTGCATATTTGTCCTCTGCTGAGACTTTTTACTCTAATTCACTAAGCATTTCTCAGATCTCAACTTGCAAAAGTCAAAGTCCAGATCTACATTTCTATATGTGATGTGTATACTGAGTCCAGAGCAATGTACCAAATGTAAACACGTGACCATAAGGAATAAACAATTTTATTTTACCCTGATAAACAAAAAATTGGAGTGGAAATTAATATATGTAATATTTCTGCATATGCACATATGGATACCAACCACTGCTGTTATTTTTTTATCAGCAGAGTATTTTCTTTACTGCCCTGCCTCTTTAAAGAGGGAAATGCATGCAATCCTTACTTCTCCACAAAGATAAATGGAAGTCATGTGTCTCCTGGCACCTAAAACTTACCTGATCCTTTGCTGTTTGTGTGTGTATGCATATGTGTATTTGACACATAATAGTTTTATGAATTTACAGAGTACAATGTTATATTTTAGGATAGCCACACAGTATTGCCATGGTCAGGTCAGAGTAATTAGCACATCATTTACCTCATTTCCTTGTGCACAAGAACATTCTAAATCTTGTTGGCTGTTTGTAATCTTCAATGAATTGTTTTCAACCATGATTACCTTTCTATATAATCAGGCACTAGAAATGATTCTTTCTGTCCAACTGCTCTTCTATTCTCATTAATCGCCTTTGATCTTTCAGGTGCTGCTGTCTGCTACTCAGTTACTTAACTCTGTGAAAGCAACGTAACAAATTGCTTCCACATACTAGTGAAACATGTTTTCTCATCTCTCTGTGCCTATCTTATTTCCCTTAACATGATATCCGGATTTATTTGGACCATGGAACATATCATATCTTAGTGGCTGACTAACTGATCACTGTATGCACCTGTAATTAGTGAATCCTCTTATAATTAATACATATAGGTAGACATTTCTGGAAGACACATGAGCCACAGAAAGGAGAAGCTGTTACCTAACAACTTTTGATCTGTGGGCTGTCTCTTGGCTACCTCAGGCTGGCTGCTGGGAGCTGATCTCTATTCCTGCAGCTTGTGGCTTTACAGTGAAAACCAAGGACTACACAATTTCATTATAAGATGCAGAGAAATTAAGCTGACACTGAGCTGGAAGCATCCTTCCTGCTAGCTAGCTTCTGTATTTCCAGAAGATGTTATACCTACAATTGGGAAGCAACATTATTCAATTATGACCCAATGAACTGTAATGCTACCCTACTATGCAAGATGTGCCCACTGGTGACACGACTATTGAGGGATAACCAACAGTCACTGATTGAATTTGAGGCCCTCTCCGCAGGAGCGAATTTATACCTGTACTGTAAACCCAGTTAAAAATATCCATGACTTGGGGCAGGGTGTCTTGTGATCTAGGGAGGACCTTACTGATGTTGTGAGGCTAAATTAACACAGGCCCCAAACAGTTTCTAAATGCTTATGTTTATACTCACAGACAAAGGCTACACTTTAAAGAGCATTTTGTTTTATCAACATTAGGTTGTAAGGTAATTTCTTGGAAAAGTTTTTAAAGCTACCATCATCAATCCTATTTTACAAAGTTGATGTGCGTTATCCTTCTTATGCTGCGCATATGTGTTATTTTTATTGGTTGATGAGTATCAACAAATAAACATCGTCTCCCCTTTTCTGTCTAATTAAAAAGGAAGGTTTTAACTTTAACATAGTAAAATTACATATAACAAAATGGTTATCAAGCAAGAAGTACAGTTACAGTATTTAGTCTATTTGTATTTGACAAAATTAAAGGAAATACTCTATCAACTATCCTATCTTTGATTAAACTTTTTTTTGGTTTTTTGAGACAGGGTTTCTCTGTATTGTTTTGGAGGCTCTGTAGACCAGGCTGGCCTTGAACTCACAAAGATCCGCCTGCCTCTGCCTCCCAAGTGCTAGTATTAAAGGCGTGCGCCACCAACGCCCGGCTTTTGATCTAAACTTTTACACTTAATTGTAACACAAGTTGTAATGGGTCTTAATGATAAAAGCCTGGAGCCAGATATAGGGAAAAATGCTGAGAGATTAGAGAGAAGGAGCAAGCCAAAGCCATCTTACAAAGACATTTCTTTATGATATAAATTGGCTTGTTGTCAAGTAATGGAAAAGTCTTTTTTCATTCTTTGCTATTGACATAAATTTTTATGAAATTATGAGGTCTTTAGCACATTTCCTATCAATAGTTAATCAATTTTATCATTACCTGTGTTAGAGGGCCTGGCAGACTCATATGGGATTGGAGATGATTGATTCCTACTCTTTATTGTGCCTTGTAATTTAATAAATATTAAAGTCAATTCTGTATCATCTGGTATAAATTCAGCAGTTCCAATATGCAAAACAACTCTTTCTGTATATTGTGAATTAGTAACTATGTTGAAAGGTTCTTTATGATCCATTCACACCATGAAAATAGCATAAAATTCTGACTCTTGAACAGAATTATAATCTACTTTACTTAAATTTTATGTTTTATAACCTGTCTTTCCTGATTTATTTGTGTCAGTATAGAATGTAGGAGCTCCAGATATTGGGGTTTCCTGTACAATGCGACCAAGGATCTGGTCAGTTCTCTTTATAAGTTGAATTCTTTTACTTTTGGGATAATTTCTGTTAACCTCTCCCAAAAATTACTCTAAGCTCTTTTCCAGGGTTCGGGTTCATTTTCTACTCATAATTTGTCAATTTTACCATTAGTAAAAGGTTCTATAATTTCTGCTGGATCTGTTCCAGCTAACTGATGAAGTCTCATTTTTCTTTTAGAATCAACTCAGAGTTCTTTTCCACATAAGTTTTACTTTTTCCTCTGTTTATTTGGTAGGAAGATCAGTAGCTATTGTGCCCTGTTTTTGTATAACCTGAATGATTGGTGATTGTTCTTTATAATACATTCTAATATTTTTCCCAGAAACAAATGTTAATTTATGGTTTATTTCTAAGATTTGAGGAATGTAAATCTGAGTATTCCAATACTGTAATAAATTGCATTCTCACAAATTCATTGTTGTAATAGTTACATATAGCTTTAATTTTCCTGTCTGTCCTTCTGGCTCTATACATTGGATCCATCTTGCACTTTGTTTCATCTGAGATAACATTGCAATCACTAAAAGCTGAACATTTGCCTCCTAAAGAAGCCAATTTGGATACCAAGATTGTGGTGCAATTATTGTTACATCCATACCTGTGTCTTTGCATTTTGTAATAGCATTTTCAAAAGTCAGAGATCCAATTATTATTTGTCTGTTTCTGAATTTGGTATCATTCTATTTATTGCTGATGTCAATCTTTGTAAGAAATCAGTGAAGGTTTCTTTTGGGTCCTGTATGACTTTAGTAAGTGACCCAATTTTCTTTCCTACTTCTTCCATTTTATCTCAAACATTCAAAGCTGTGGCATGGCATAAAGCAAGG